GGGGGAAATCTTCTGGTTTACAGATTTACCAAGTTGGAAGGGACCTTGTAGGTCATCTAGTCTGATCCCCACTTTGTTGGCCCTACCTCTGAACTCTTGCTTAAATTATCCAGGGGTGTGTGTCCGATTTACAGATTTACTGCATTGGGACCTTGTAGGTCATCTAGTCCTGGGGGAGGGGGGGTTCCAGTTTACAGATTAACAAAGTTGGAAGGGATCCTGTAGGTCATCTAGTCCAACCCCCACCCTCACAGTCACTTCTACCTCTGAACTCTCGCTTTAAGTGACCCGTCGTAAGTCGAGGACTTCTGCGGCCCATGCCGATGACCCCCACGAGGACCTTGCGATGTCATCATTCACAGGGCGATGTCATTCCCGCCCCCTTCCCTCCCTCCCTCCCCCCCCTCCATCCGCTTCCCCGGCCCCCCCCCCCCAGAGACCCTCCCCCGCCGGAGCCGCCCAAGATGGACAATGCTTGGAGGAGAATCCCGTCCGTGGCTCTTCCGTGTGTCGGCTACGTCCAGAGTGGGATCTAGAAAGGGGGGAGGGGGTTGGGGAGGGGGGCGCAGAAGAAAAAAGTGGGGGAGGGAAACCATGAGGCCCCTGGGAGTCGAGGCGCACAAAAGGGTGACTATGCGTTGCAGACAATGGCCGGTTTGTCATCCCGCCACCCCATCCCGACTTTTCCCCTCCTCCCTCTGACCCCTCCCCAAGCATCCCCAGTACCACTCGCTGCCTGGGCCAGCCAGGGCGGCTCTTCTCCGCTCTTCAGAATAGCCATTGACCAGGGAGGGACCTTGGAGGTCCTCTAGTCTGACCCCAGCCCCCCTCTCAAGCGGGAGAGAGAATAAACAGGAGTGGGAAGGGACCTTGGAGGTCTTCTAGTCTGACCCGCCCACCCTGTCAAGCGGGAGAGAGAATAAACAGGAGCGGGAAGGGACCTTGGAGGTCCTCTAGTCTGACCCGCCCACCCTGTCAAGCGGGAGAGAGAATAAACAGGAGCGGGAAGGGACCTTGGAGGTCTTCTAGTCTGACCCCCCCCTGCTCGAGCAGGAGACAGAGAATAAACAAGCAGTTCCACTGGTTAATTGTCAGGAAATTTCTCCTTAATTCCAAGTTGCTTCCCTCCTTGATTTGTTTCTTCTCCTGCCTTCAGGGGCTTTGGAGAATAATTTGATCCCCCTCTTCTTTGGGGCAGCCCCTCAAATATTGGAAGACCGCTGTCATGTCCGTCCCACCCCGCCCTCCAGTCCTTCTTTTCTCCAAACTAGCCAAACCCAGTTCCTGCCACCCCTTGTAGGTCCTACTTTCCAGGCCTTTAATCCCCTTTTCCCAAAAGTCTCAACCTCGTTTTTGTAATTCGGGGTGACCAAAACTGGACACGGCGTTCCAGGTGTGGCTTTACTAAGGCTTTACAACGGCTGTGCTAATCCTCCACCTGATTTTGATCCGATACACCTACTTATGCAACCGAGGGTTGTATTCGCTTTCTTGGCGGCGGCTGCACGAGGCTAACTCACAGTTTAAGGGATCGTTCCCACTAGGACTCCAAAGCCCATCTCCCAGTTATTGTTTTAGAGCCAGGTTTCACCTTGTCCGCCTTTGGCCCAGGTGTCAAAGTTTTCTTATCTCCTCCTTAAATGTCACGTTGTTGGATAGGGCTTTTGTTTCTGTGTCCTTCCTTCCCGATATCTTGGATCCTCCCCTTTTAAGGCTTGGTTCCTCCAACCCCATCATCCACTGCCCTCCCTCCCATCCTAAACCAGGGATGAGTCAACCTTCAGGATGTCCAGCCAATTTGGCACCTTCCAGAAGCTCCCCGTGTGGCCCTCCCAACGATGCCAAGCTTAGGCACGCGGATGCGATAAACCTGGTTAAGCAAACTGCCATTTGTCAGAAATGGTGTGGGTGGGGTGGGGGGTTGGACTAGATGACCTACAAGGTCCCTTCCGACTCATTCTTTTCTTTCTTTCTTTCCTTCCTTTCTCCATCCCTTCCCTTTCTCTCCTTTCTTTCAGAAATGGGGTAGGGTCTCCTACTTGGATGGGCAGGGGGTTGGACTAGATGACCTACAAGGTCCCTTCTGACTCTGATTTTCTTTTCTTTTTTCTCTCTTTTTTTTCTTTTTTTCTTTCTTATTTTCTTTCTTTCCTTCCTTCCCTTCCCTTTCTCTCCTTTCTTTCAGAAATGGGGTAGGGTCTCCTGCTTGGATGGGCAGGGGGTTGGACTAGATGACCTACAAGGTCCCTTCTGACTCTGATTTTCTTTTCTTTTTTCTCTCTTTTTTTTCTTTTTTTCTTTCTTATTTTCTTTCTTTCCTTCCTTCCCTTCCCTTTCTCTCCTTTCTTTCAGAAATGGGGTAGGGTCCCCTACTTGGATGGGCAGGGGGTTGGACTAGATGACCTACAAGTTCCCTTCTGACTGGTTTTCTTTTCTTTTTTCTCTCTTTTTTTTCTTTTTTTCTTTTTTCTTTCTTTTTTTCTTTCTTTCCTTCCTTCCCTTCCCTTTCTCTCCTTTCTTTCAGAAATGGGGTAGGGTCTCCTATTTGGATGGGCAGGGGGTTGGACTAGATGACCTACAAGGTACCTTCTGACTGGTTTTCTTTTCTTTTTTCTCTCTTTTTTTTCTTTTTTTCTTTTTTCTTTCTTTTTTTCTTTCTTTTCTTCCTTCCCTTCCCTTTCTCTCCTTTCTTTCAGAAATGGCGTAGGGTCTCCTGCTTGGATGGGCAGGGGGTTGGACTAGATGACCTACAAGGTCCCTTCTGACTCTGGTTTTCTTTTCTTTTCTCTCTTTTTTTCTTTTTTTCTCTTTTTTCTTTCTTTTTTTCTTTCTTTCCTTCCTTCCTTCCCTTCCCTTTCTCTCCTTTCTTTCAAAAATGGGGTAGGGTCTCCTGCTTGGGCGGGGGGAGGGGGTTGGACTAGATGACCTACAAGGTCCCTTTCCAACTCTGATTAACTGTTATCTGTTAACCCTAGCTCAGAACGGCTTGTGCTTTGGTCCCCCCCCCCGCCCCCCGCCCACCGGTCGCAATTTCGGGCTTCCGAGTTGGCCATCTACACAGGTAGTCCTTGACTTACGACCACCATGGACCCGAAATTTCTGTTGCTAAGCGAGCCATTTTGTTAAAGCCAGTTTGGCCCTCTTTTATGAGCTTTCCGCTGCTTCTGCCCCACTCAGCGACGGAGCCTCTCCGCAATCTGACACATAAGATACAGGTGTCATATAACAGAAGGGACCTTGGGAGGTCTTCTAGTCTGACCCCGTGCTCAGGCAGGAAACCCTTCCGCCATTTCCCACAGATGCTCCTGCTTACCTTCTCGGTCCATTCTCGCGGTAGCGTCGGCTGCTCCGGGCTGCCTCCACGCTCCCCCTCCCTGCCCCCGACATTTGACTGAGCTCTTTCACTGCCGCACGAAACGCAAAGAACGGGCATTCAGGATATCGGCCGGATCCGGGAAGATCGAATCGACCCGGAAGCCCTGCGCCAAGGCCACCTTCAGCACCTCCTCCAGGAACTGGTGGGAGGAGCGGATCTCACGGCCATCCACCCGTAGCCGGTGGAACTTCTGTTTGGTGTACTCCGCGGCTGGCAGCCCGGCTGGGCACGGGGCCCACTCCAAGCACAGGTGGTGGCACATCATGGCAGCTTCCATGCCGGACCCTTCCGGAGTACCGTCCAGCGTCTCATCATCCGTCGCCGTGTCTTCGTCCGCAGAGTCGTCCGGACAAATTCTCTGGTGGCTGGTCGACCATTGCTTCCATCCTCCGGCTTCCCGGAGGGTTGCCTGAGTTTTGGGAAAGCCCGATTCTTTTGGCGACGGATCCACCTGTCTGTCCACATTCCCGCTGGCACCCTCACGGCGACCCAGGTGTCTCCGCAGCCCAGCCAGGAAGTGCCGGTCGGTGCAGAAAACGTTCGCGGTGAAGACCTCCACCGTGCATGAGCTCAGCTCGTAGTTCTGAGGCCCGCGGCGCACGTTGAAATGCAGCCGGCGTGAGGTCACCGCCACATCAGCGTGGAGCACCGCGTTGCTCTGCCGGCGCCACCGCTCCGCCTCAACCCGCCGCAGCTCCTCCAGGAGCGGACGGATCTGGTAGAAATCCGCCTCGGCCCTCAGTAGGGAGAGTTCTGCGTAGCCATCCGGCAGGTCCAGACGGCCGAAACGGAGGAAGTTCAGGATGTGGCGGAAAGTCTTGCCATCGCGGTCGATGAAGTAGTTCCCACAGCTGTCCAGGAGGGCCGGTTGGCAACCTCGGAACATGGCGCCCAACATGGAGTCTGGGAAACGAGTCAAGGTTTCCAGGGTGGTGCTATAGACCTTGCCCCCGACGTTCAGGGTCACCAGCGGGCCGGGCCGGCCTGGACCCTGGCAAGTATCCGGCATCCTCACGGAAACACCTGTGGGGAGACAAGCAGGGGCCACGTGATTTGGGGTGTGCTGGATCGGTCGCCCTGTTTTTCATCCTCCGAATTTTAATCCTTTGGCACTTTTTATTCGATTTATTTAATATATATATATATATATACATCATTATTATATGGTTCAGGAGTAGCGCAGTGGCCTAGAGGTTTGCGCTATGGCCTCACAATCCGGAGGCTGTGTGTTCGATCCTAGGTAGATATTTCTCTCTCTGGGCACAATGAGAATAATATCTGCCGAACAAAATTCAGCCCTGGCGACAGGAAAGGCATCTGGCCATTAAAAACACTCAGTATTTACGATGTGGTGCAGTGGCCTAGTGGTGGAGCTCTGGCCTCACAATCTAGCTCCATTCGGTTGAGTAGTACAGTGGCCTAGAGGTGAAGTTCTTGCCTCACAATCAGGAGGCTGTGAGTTCGATCCTAGGTAGAGGCAGATATTTCTCTCTCTGGGCACGATGAGAATGTATCTGCCGAACAAAACTCTGCCCTGGTGACAGGAAAGGCATCTGGCCATTAAAACACTCTGCTAGCTCCATTCGGTTAGCAGTCAAATTTGGGGCTCCATTGTGGAATGGAAATGAGTGGTGGAGTGGTCTATTATATATATATATATATGAAACTTCATCGAAACGTCGCCTAGATACTTCCAATTTTACGCAGGAGAAAACCCGAATAACCAAAGATCCACATACAAATACCCGCAAGAAACTCCGCCCTGGCGACAGGAAAGGCATCTGGCCATTAAACACTTTGCTAGTTCTATTCAGTTGCCCAGACTCCACCCGATGCAAGGGCGTTAAAAGAGGATGGTTGATATTATTGCCTTTGACTTATCAGCACAATTTAGCCCCATTTCAACAACTTTTCTTCCCGCCGTTGTTAAGTGAATCGGCCTCCCCTCCCAATTGACTTTGCTTGTCGGATGGTCACAAAAGGGCAGCTCTTGGCCCCGGGATGCTGCGACCATCCAGATTTTGATTGCGGCATCACAAGGATGCTGCAACAGTTGTTAAGGGTAAAAAATGGTCTTAAGTCAGTTTTTCTCAGTGTAACTTTGAACAGTCTTTAAATGAATAGTTGTAAAGTCGAGGACTAGGTAGGTAGGTAGGTAGGTAGGTAGATAGATAGGTAGGTAGATAGATAGATAGGTAGGTAGGTAGGTAGGTAGGTAGGTAGGTAGGTAGGTAGATAGATAGATGATAGATAGATAGATAGATAGATAGATAGATAGATAGATAGATAGATAGATAGATAGAGATAGGTAGGTAGGTAGGTAGGTAGGTAGGTAGATAGATAGATAGATAGATAGATAGATAGATAGGTATAGATACACACACACACACACACATATATAAAATGAGAGAGAGAGAAAGATATATAGAGAGGGGGGGAGAAAGAAAGACAGAAAGAAAAGTAGATGTAGATAGAAAGAGAGAGAGAAATATATAGAGATATAGAAAGATAGATGGATATGAAAAGATAGAAAGATAAAAAGATAGAGACTGAGAGAGATATAGATCGAAACAGAAATATAGAGAGAAACAAAGATAGAAAGATAGAGGAAGTGATATAGATGTAGATAGAAAGATAGAAAAATAGATAGATATAGATATAGAAAGATGGATATAGAAAGATTAAAAAGACAGAGAGATACATATAGAAAGAGAGAGAAATAGAAAAAGAAAGAACGATATAGATGTAGATAGAAAAATAGAGAGAGAGAGAAAGACAGATGGAAAGATAGAAAAATAGATGTAGATAGAAAGAAAGAGAGGAATAGAGAGACATATAGAAAGAGATGGATATGAAAAGATAGAAAGATAAAAAGATGGAGACACACACACAGAGAGAGAGAGATCGAAAGAGAGAAAGAGAGAAAGAGAGAGAGAGAAAGAGAAAGAAACATAGAAAGAGGAAGAGTGATATAGATGTAGAAAGATAGAAAAATATAGTTATATATATAGAGAGAGAAATAGAGATATAGAAAGATAGATGGAAAAAGAAAGATAAAGAGAGAGATACAGATAGAAAGAGAGAGAGAAATAGAGAAATAGAAAAAGAGCGATGTAGATAGAAAAATAGAGAAAGACAGATGGAAAGATAGAAAAGTAGATATAGATAAAAAGAGAGAGAGAGAAATATAGAAAAATAGATGGATATGGAAAGAGAAATAAAAAGACAGAGACAGAGAGAGTGAATCTGTAAGAGAGAGAGAGTGAAT